GTAATACATCTGAGGCAAGTAAAGGGAAACAGGAGAACGGAAAAGCAAATTTAATGAATTCTCACTTCTCGTCGTGTTGCTTTGACTCTATGTGACCATTGATTTGATGTGCTTTAGAACCTGTTTAGCTTTTCTTTTCCTATTTATTTAAAGAGAACGTGTTTAGGTTAAAAGAAATCCCTTGAGAAATAATATTCTTACAGAAATATCTTCTTTTTTTATTATTTTTGAGAACTATGTATACGATCTTAAATATTGCAATATATCCAAGCTATGATGGATTTGTTTTCTCTTATATATATAGCCATCGATCGAAGGTATATTGCTAACAGGAAATGCAAAACCATCACAGGAAAGTAGAATTTGTAAAATGCCAATAAAAGTGTATTTATATGTACGTATATCTAGAGCAATCACTTTTTTTATGTATTAATTCTAATTTATTTAGTTTTCCCATACTTTTTTTTACCAAATAATAATAATAATAATAATAATAATAATAAATCTTTTCCATGAACATATATATCCCGTATGAACAAGATTATCCGCGCTTTATCCCGAGAAGAAAAGTCCGCAGAGAGGGCGAGGGTAGTGTTGCATGAAACTGCATATATTGTGAGGACCCATTTTTCGGTTTTAAGGCACTTTATTATATTTATTTTTTGACACGATCGATGTATAAGAACTCCTTGATTTTCCACCTTTAAAAATGAAATTTGGGTAAAATCTCTCTGTTTATGATACAGGACAACGAAGAAAAGGACGAAGGCATCCACAAAGGTCATAGACGCATTGTCTTGATGAGGTTTAAACTCAAAGGAGAACGTGTTTTAGGTTTTAAAGACGGTAGAAATTCAGTGTTTGCTGCACCAACTTCTCCTCTAACCGGCTACCTCAATGGTCAAATGGGTAATGTCCTTTTCATCATTATGTTACTATCTCTGAGAGTGAGTTTTATGATTAAAATCATTTTGACAACCATTTACCCCGCACTGTTGAAAACATTGGCGATTAGTTATGTTATTGGTTGCGACGTTTACTTTCTTGTAGAAACTAGAAAAAAAGGTTATACAATACAATCTTGCAACGATGTGTTAATTCTTCGCATTACCTGCCGCAATTTCTTTGCTACGTTATTTATGGATACTACGGAGAATTAGAGGCAAATTTACTTTCATCGACATTAATTAATTTATATATAGACACACACAAGTGTTTTTCTTTATATATATTTTAAGAGAGGAAGGGCGTTTTGGCTAGTTTTCTTGTAACAAGTTCAAGTCCTTCTCTGATCGAGGAAATCACTCTACGTATTTGAAATAGTATATTCATAAGAATTATATATTTTCTTATTATCTTCTTAAGATTTAAACTGTAGATAATAATATAGAAAACAAACTCAGCTACAGTACAGATAAGAATCACGCATGATTGCATGCGATGTATATATGTGGCTATCTGCTGCATTATTGACGCATGCATGTTTATATTCTTCCTTAGTTATTTTCCAAATCAGTTAGAAAATATAATTATGCATGGAATTAAGCAGGCCCCAAAGTCCCACTTGTAGTAGAAAGACTTGGACGATTTTCAAAATATGGACGCCTGTGTGGGGAGGGGAGAGAGATAGTTGGCCTATTAGCACAGTGGTTGGTTAGAATGCAAAATCATCAAGCACACGTGGAAAGCTGGAACGAGATCCATTTGAGTACTCAATTCAAAATATATAAGGTAATGAAGGACAATACTAGCTAATGATCTTATGCCCTACATTGCATCAGGCAATCAATAAAACTAGCCAACTTGCCACCTCCTTTATTAGGAAATTGCCAATTCTATTGTGCTGGTAACATTTGTCAGTGATATTGTTCATGGGACATGAATGACATGATAGAGGTTCCAGTGATGAGTTGGAGGAAGAAAACAACGCTTGGAAGTTATTATACTCCATCCACTAACATGAATGTGTGATTAATTTATAGATCATTATTATTGTTTTAATAATTTCTAATTAAAAGGTGGCCATATATACAACTTCACCATTCAGAACTACATTTCGTTTAATCCTTTGATCCCCAACCTATCTTTAGTTTTCTGGGTTTTGTGGTAAAATTAGTTCTTGCTAAATCCCTCTAGCTTTAAATAATTTTCTGGATTGATATGGGTGAAAAATGATGATTTTACAATTTTACGACTTTCTCTCATATCGAATTCCGAATGATAATGTAAGAAGAGTAGTATGCATTGACCAACCAACTTATTAAACCTCAAAAAAAAAAAAAACCCTTAAAACTTATGCATGAATCAGTTTATTGGTAAGGGATTAAGAATGTATAAAAATGTATTAGCTTATGTATATATATTACCGCGTTTCGTTCACACCAAGAAAAAAAAAGTTAGATTACATTCTTCTCACAGAAGACTTCCCCAACTTTCCTCACGAGGACGGCTGGAGTTGGATATGGTGAAACTAAATAAATAACTATCGTGTAGGAATATTATAAGTAATGTTCGCTTTATATTTATGTGAGATCAAGTGAACACACACACACACACACACATATATATATATATATATAAAACTTGTGATCCTTTCTTTCATTTCATTAATTATGTGTGGAGAGTTCACATTTTGGAGTCGTATGATTTGTTAATTAATTTTCTAATAATTCATCTGCACTTGCAGATGGATATGTAATGCTTTTGAGAATCTTCCCTGCATATTCATTCATTAATTAAAAGACCTGTTTCCGGAGCTCCTTTGGCCTTATTCATCAATTGTTTTCTCCCTCTAGAAATTAAAAACAAATATGATTAATGTTAGTTACGAAACATGTTTGAAATATTCAGCGCTGTGATCAGGAGAGAAGAAGAAGAAGAAGAAGAAAAAACAAGCACAATATATGTCGCTGACCTTTGAGAAATCAAGTTTCAAAGTCTCCATTAAATTCATAAATTATACTAGAAACTAGATGTGCATGTCTCTATTCGTGACAAATTCGCTTAACTTGTTTTGTTTCTGAGTTTATTACATGAAAGTTGTTGTATTTGTAACTGGAATTTCCATTTGTTTTTCTTTTTCCTTCTTTTTTTTTTAATTATTTTTGGCATAATTATTTTTACTATGTTGTTTTCTTAACTTTTAAAATTTTTTAGGTTTCAAAGAATTCCAAATGAGTTCAATGCGTGGATAAATATAAATTTTTATCCGGTCGTTAAATCAAATTAAAATTCTTCTTGATCATTCTAAATGTCTAATTATAATTATATTGGAGCAACTATCTTCTTCGCTTTTTTTTTAAGGCCCAAATTAGGCCTGAAAGATATTATTTAAGAATTATTTATTTATTTTTCTGTTGTCATCATTGAATCGATTCTTTTTTCTAGTTAGATTATGAATTTCAATATTTAATTAAACTTTTACTAATCAATTATGATATTTCGCTTGTATTAAACAACTCTGGAGGCTATTTTCTAAAAGTAGATTGATGAATTATTGACTTTCATAATATATTTGAGTTTTCTATACAATTGTTTCAATAATTAAGGGTTGTACCTTAGGCTTGAGAACTTTAGTATTTTTCTTTATAGTTTAGGATTGTAAAACTTCAGAAATTAAAGAATTATATTTATATTATATGTTGTGTCAATTGATATTAGAAATTGTTTAGAGGAGATTGGTAAATTATTGACTTTCAAAAAGTATGCTTGAGTTTTCTGTATAATTAAGGAATATAACCTCGAGAACCCTAGTTCTTTTACTCTAGAGTTTAGAACCACCTGTAAAATTACTTTGGGGACTGAGGAACCCTATCCAAGCCTAGCTAGTGACGTGATGTTATTTCACGTGATCTTCTATTGGGAGAAAAAATCAGGAAATTACTTGGAAAAAGAAGAAGAAGCAACATAATGAGCATTCTATTAGTCGTAACCAACGTAATGGTAGCTCAATGTGGTAATTATGACAATAAAGAACGTATTGTGATTGTCATGTTAAGGTTGCTCCCATTTGCTAATTAATTAACGGGCACTTATAAAAAGTTGAAAAATGCGTGCGCTGGCCAGGAATTTCAGAAACTGATGAGGCCCCATCTTCATTCACTGATAATAAAAACATTATGTTAACATGATTCACAGTAATTTAGAGATCGATGGCATGGCGATGCACGGGGTGACGAAGGAGGCAGCTTAATTTGTTGCGTGCATGGAATGAGCTTCTATACCCTGACCATCGAAGACGTGCCATCTGTTCCCTGATGCTGACCTCTATCTTAGTTTTAGGACTTCTGCGTTAGTTTATTTTTTACCATCATTAATCATTCGATATTTGGATCTCAAATTTGCCCTCCGCATTTTGAAGTATAATAATTATAGAACTAGCCCACCTTGCGCTTGGGGGACACCCTAGCTAGCTACACTCTTAAGATATATCGGCCAGAATATATACGTGTGGCAGAGCTTAGTGATGAAAATGTCACTAGGAGAATATGTGAATTCTTGGAAAATATATATGTATCTGATAGGCTTCCTGATCTCAGCAATAATATTGAAATGGAAGACAGGCTTTTTCATGCCTCCCAATGTATAGAAAATCTGCACCAGGGATATACTTCTGCTGAAGTTCTGCTGATATTGAGGTTAGTGGCGGATGGAATATTTGGAATCCAAAAACATTGTGCCCTATCACGAGCTAGCTGTCTTGATTACTGAAATATATTTTAATAGCTGGCTGCTTAAAATATTATGCCCGCTTGATTAATTAAGAGTAATTAATCACCTTATAGGGAGGAGAAGGAGAGGGCATAGCTGACATTTCAAGAAGAAAAAGGTCATTGTTGATTGGCTTAGCAAATAGGAAGCTACCACATCAGCCTGCTTCTTTTTTTGGGCTCTGTTATATCAGGGTGGCATGAAACATGGAACGCATATAAATAGCAAGCCTGCAGTTAATGGTTGGATCAAAGGGAGGCAGCCTAATCTTAAGGTGAAAAACATAGGATAGAGTACTGTCTTATACACTTGAAAATGGGCAGGTCTCCTTGCTGTGACGAGAGTGGCCTCAAGAAAGGTCCCTGGACCCCTGAAGAAGATCAAAAACTTGTCAAATATATCCAAAAACATGGCCATGGAAGCTGGAGAGCCCTCCCTAAACTTTCTGGTATGTATTTTATCTATCTTTCTGTAAATATAGCACAGCTCCACCCCCGTCTCTCACTCTGTCTCTAACAAGGAGTTTATTTTTGCAGGTCTTAATAGATGTGGAAAGAGTTGCAGGTTACGTTGGACAAACTATTTAAGGCCAGATATCAAAAGAGGGAAATTTTCTCAAGAAGAAGAACAGACAATTCTAAATCTCCATTCCGTCCTTGGCAACAAGTAACTAGTTAAACAATATTCACCTTTCTTTTTCGCCGCATCTTATTTACTGGATTATTCATGGTATTTGTACTTATTTCCGTATTCTTCTACTTGTTGCTTTGAAGATGGTCTGCAATTGCAAGCCATCTACCGGGTCGGACCGATAATGAAATCAAGAATTTCTGGAACACTCACCTGAAGAAAAAGCTCATTCAAATGGGTTTTGATCCCATGACTCACAGGCCTCGCACCGATATCTTCTCAAGCTTGCCTCATCTTATAGCCCTAGCCAACCTGAAGGAGCTCATAGATCACCATTCATTGGAAGAACATGCTCTGAGACTACAAACAGAAACAGCACAAATGGCAAAACTTCAATATTTGCAATATCTCCTTCAACCTCAACCTCCTGCAGCTTCTAATACTGCAACAAGCTCAAACAACCTAAACAATATCGGTACTCTTAGTGACATCGAAGCCTTTAATCTCTTGAATTCACTTGCTTCACTCAAGGATAGCCCAGTGTCAAGTTTATCCCAGTTGGATTTACCGGCTTCCTCTCTTCAAGGGATCAATGATTCAATCCACTTCTCCCATTTGCCTGACTTACAAATCCCTTGCAACTATCAAACACCACCAACCAAGGGCATGGCTCAAGCTCCTGAGTTAACAGTGTTTAGTCAAGGAGAGAACTCGCCCATTTCTCCATTTCAGTTTCCTTCATCTTCAACTCCATTTCCTCCTTCTGCAGTTCCACCTGTAACACAGATATCTAGCATGGTCAACAACTTGGGAGATGCCTCTAGTACTTCAAGCTATGGAGAAGAAGTTCCTTCAGTTTGGCATGACCTCCTTGAAGACCCTTTGTTTCATGATATTGCTTAGCTTAAATTTTCATATATGTGAAAAAGGTTTGGAGTTTCACCACCACTTCACTGTGTAATAACACAACATATATACACTGTTTGTAGCTGTATGTATACTTTAGGACATTGCACTCATCATGGTAGATAGATTTACATGCATGTTTTATAATTTAAGCAGAGGCTTTCATCATGGAGTGTTACCAACCATTTATATGCAATTGAGAGACTGATTTTACTGAAAGATCTCATCTGATTTAATTGCCATTTTTTTCCAGTAAACAAGTTTCTATAGCTTTCACAAAGCTAGCTAACATCTAGCAATAATGTTGCATGAATGACCAGTGATCTTCATGGCAGGTAGGTCATGAAAATTAATTATTTCTTGCATCTAAAATAATATTAATTAAAGAATAATCACTTAAAATACTAGATTCTACGTTGCTTTGTCTTATCAATTATATAGCGAAGATGTTTTCCTTTGTGTCCTGAAACGTGTTGACATATCTATTACATATGCATCAAATTAATAATTGCCTTGAACTTCTTCTCTTCTTTCTCATTTTAGAAAACTCTTGGAATCTTAGAAGAAGCATGCACATAAAATATTGTATAAATAAAACATGTTATACCAAAATCCTCAGCTCTCCATTTCTCATATTTGTGTGTTGTATTTTGTACGTAATTGACAGAAGTCTGAAGAAAATAACAGAAAACCTAGAAAACAAATACTTCGTTATTATTAAGGAAAGAGACCCTATATATGTAAATACCTTATATAGAAATAGTTATTATGTGTAGTACATTCCATCAGTGTATTTTATACAATCCTAAAAGTATAAATACAAAGGGATGGTTTCCCTTATTAACAACCATCACAATTATACAAAAAACTGTCTCTCAATCTTAACTTTGTGTCATAGCAACCTCTCTCAATCTTAACTGTTTTATATAATTTATAAAAGTTGCAGCCCATTAATCTGTAGAGCTTCACTGATCAGAAGTCGTGATGTTCACACATGAGAAAAAGTTTTTTGTTCTGCAGTTTTCTTTGGTAATTAATGTTTCTTAAATATATTTAGATCAGATAATTGACCAAACCTTTTGATCTGCCCTAGCCAACCACTCTAAAAGAAGTGGATACAAAAACTCCATGTCGATCACTATCTTGTTCCTCTTTAAAATGGCTTTTTTTATTGTGTGTGTGTGTATATATATATCAGTGGAAGATACTGCTTGAGATTTTGTGTTCATAAAAATTTTCTTAAGAGAGAGAGGTAGAGAGTTGACAAAAGCTTCTATGTCAAATAAATGACGTACGTACAACTATCCTTCAATGATAAGGAGGGACCCCAGGTAGTTGGGGAACATAAAAGGCTTGGTGCTACGACTAATCTAACCCACGAAACCATGTGTTTTTCAGCTTTCAAAATCTTGCCTGGATAACCTCACCCTTTGATGGTTGTTGCTTGCTTTACAGAGTGTTGTTAAAAGTCATTTTTTCCTTTTATGGAGAGGTAGATATTGAAGCACGCACTATTGCCATTAATGGAGGCTCATGTATGGACATTTCTATCCCAGATAATTGATAAAATTAGAAGAAGACACACTTGTAGTTTAATTGATAAAAAATATCAGGATATATGCTTGTAATTATCGATTCTCTCAAACTTTTGTGACAATGGCGTGTTTAAAGCCCCCTTTTCTACATTGCATGGCGTACGTGTTTAAGAGATTAAATTGTTCTGAGTGCTGATCTTAAGGTTTAAATTCAGAACCTCCCTCACTACTGGGAAAAAAGTTCTTGAAAGAAGCTTTATAACTCTAAGAGTGCATCTCTCCCTTCTTGGAATATCCATTCAAACTAAACCATATAGATAAATTGGCATTCATATCAATATTGATGATATTTCATTTATGTTTTCATGTGTTATATCTATTTTCTTAAAAAATCCAGCTAACTAGTGCCCTTGGGTTTATGTTAAGCATCATTCAAAACTCATATTCATCTATGCTTTCCTATTGCAGAAAAGAATTTGTTTTAAACACCAAAAACAATTTCTATACAAAAATGGCTCATATAATATATTTAATTGATATAATTAAATTTCTTCTGAATATTGAGTTTTCATTTGTTGTTTAACCATAAGAGCATTTATATAATGCTTAATTTTGCCAAGGAAAATGGCAGGATATATAATCCCTTCAACATTTTATCATGAACTCTCTCGAGTCGGATAAAACTATTTACCTTTACTAGTAAGATATTTAACATGGTTTATCAATTAATTATTATTATTATCCTTTCATTTCTTCATCTTCTTTCTTTATCTCAAAAGAGTTATTATCATCAATACCTTTAATTTGGATAATTTAACGATGTTAAAAAATAATACAAATTATAATTTAAAATTTTATTTAATAGTTTAAGTGTTTAGGTTGAATTAATTATTTAATATGGTATCATATTATTGATAACCAAACAATCACGAGTTTAAATATCACTATTCTAATTTATTTAATAAAAATTAAATATAAAATAGCATGAATTTATATAAATTTCAAGCTTATAAGACTATCATTTAAGAAAGGATATTAAAAAATAACATATATTATAATTTGAAATTTCACCTAACAATTTAATTTTTAACTTGAATTGATTTTTAAATAAATAACAAGTTATCCCACTAAAAAGTTGAGCAAAAAAGTTTTGGTGTTATTTTTTGGAATTTGTACAAACAAATTGTTGTTTTTTTTAGAATTTGTACAAACAATCATATGAAGTAATTCAATCAAATCTCATGATTCAATCCAATTCCACTAATCTTTCTAATTAAGACAAAATTACCACATGGGAAAACATATATTAACCATTTATCTATCAATTATTCCATTAGTTAGTAAAGAGTATCATAGATCGATGGGAATTCTTCTATAGCTGACACAAAATATACGAATTGTAGCTAGGATCATTGTGGGGTCTCTAGATAATTGGTAGAATTCAAGCAAGTTTCATCTTGCAAGTTTTCTTAAGAAACAAACAGTGGACACATAATCGAACGGCATGGAGTGATGTGTCCGAGCATCTCAATGACCGTGGTCGTGATCAAGTCGAGACTAGCTGTACCAGTGTAGTCGGCTGAGACAGAGCACGAATTCACGGATACATTAATCTGTGTTCAGCTTGTCTGGACGCTTCTACCATGCTGTTTTCGGGGGTCAACTTCTAGGTTACCATTCCTTGTATCTTCCTACACTCAAAGATATAACGAAAAGTTCTATGACTTGTGATGTCGTTTTGATGGATAGGTTGATCTAATCTAAGAAAAACGGTTTAACGGAAGAGTAAAGTATTAGTAATCTACAACATGTGTAAAGACAAAGACTAAAATGCTAATTTAAATAATTTTTTTGATTAAATAAAAATATATATATAATTAAGTTGAGTATATTGGATATTTTAAAACTCTAAATCCTGCCATTTCTCTAATGAGTAGGTGGACTTGATTTCTTCCTTTTCTAACAAGGGATTGACTGTGATGCATCTTATACTTAACAGACCCGTTAACTTCACTAATTAAAAAAAAAACAAAAAAAAAAATTTAGGAGACTTAGAGGCCTCTCTCTCAAGAGGTGTTTCATTAAAAAAAATTTTTATGTTATGAGATTATTTTGATGTCTTTTTTTTTTTATGTTATGAGATTATTTTGATGTCTTAATATTAAAAATAATTTTTAAAAATTATAAAATATTATTTTGATATATATTTAATTAAAAAACATTTTAAAAAACAACTATTATACATCAAGTTCTTAGACACTGTATTAATGCCATATTAATTGTATGAATAGAAATTGATGAGTGGCAATTTAACATGGATCGTGAGACGTTTTGAGCAAGTTAAACTTCGAGCTGTTGTGGAAAATAGTAATGGAAACTGATTAAAGTCAATGTAGCCATATTTGATGTGAGAGAATTCATAAACATATGATTAGATGTGTATTAATAATTAGTTTGTTCACAAAAGTCACAACTAAAAAACAATCCAAGAGTTATACCACTTTCTATGGTTGAATGATGAAGTCCGAGGACTTGTATAATATATTAGCACAGCATCTTTTTCTCTTTATTTTACCAAAAATGAGTGTACGATTTCTTTTTCTTTTTTTTCCTTCTACGACTAGGGCTATTATATATTGTATCTATTTACACATTATTTAAGATTATTATTTTTTCAAAATGATTTTTAAGGGTGCGTCTTTCATGTCAATCATTGTCAAATATAAATGTGATGGAAAGAATAATTACAGGTAATATATTTTATAATTTCTAATATATGGTAATAAGTTGCTCTTGTACGTATTCATATTCAGTCAAGTACAAATTGTTTTTCTGAGATAAACAACCCTAGCTCCGAATCATCGTGCTACTTTTTTTTTTTTGTTTGTAGTGGAAGTTTTGGGGCCAAGTGGCCTACTAGAAGTCTAAGTACATGTAAATCTCGAGCAAAAGTCGGCAGCCGTACATGGCCTCCATTGAATTGTTTGCCCTAGTTGTGCTTGAAATAAAAAACATATCACATGAACATGCACTTGGCAGGCAGGCAATCTCATGGGAGTTAATAATATTGTCTTATTATAAATAAAACATTAAATGTTGAGGGCAAGGTTAAGAGATTTCAAATGGATGGATAGCAGAAGAAGCCTTCTTGTTTACCACTTTACCTATGGGCTTCGTATGGAGACTGCAATAGACCTAGAAAATATGTAGTTCTTAACTAAAGAAAGATCGTGACAAGAATAGGATCACATAGCTACAATTGGAGAGCTATTACTGGTAATTTTATATGTATATCCTAAGACTTGAACACTAAATATTAGCATAATTCTAAAGGGTTAATGATTTTATACATGTATATTCTAAGACTTCTAAGCTAAATTTGGTCAAAAAGAAGAGGAGCGAATGGAAATCATGATTGCAATTTGAATTCATGCTAATGACTTTGATTAGTAGCATTAGGAAGTCTCACACTCCTGATCATGGAGGATTAGAGAAATAAAAAGAGCGAGAGAGTTCACTCAAAGTGAAGAAACCATGCATAGGGCAGCTTCGTTTTCAAAGATTTGGTAGTGCGAGTGAGATCATGGCTCTCGCAATATTCTCTGAGTAATATATATATATATATATACACGCACACCATTGAATATTCCCAATCCGCATCTTGTAATCTTTGCTCCAGAGCTACCACGTCTGC